GTGAAAAAGGCATGAAAGAATATACATGGTAGTTATTACGATAATATTGATATTGACAATGATAATAATAGTAATGGTAATAATAATGATAACAAAGATAACAATGATAATAATAATGATAATATGGATAACAAAGATAATAAACACTAATAAGAAGAGTGATAATGATATTAATAATGGTATTAATAATAGTAATATTAATGATAATGATAAATGATAATAATAAATGATAATAACAATAAAATAATAATAAAAATGATAATAATAATAATAATAATAATAATAATAATGTCATTGATAATTATACTAATAAAAATAATGATAATGGATGATAATAATAAAGATGATAATAATGAATAATAATAATGACAATAACAATGATAACAAGTACTAATAACATTAATGATAGTGATAACAATAATATTAATAACTTTCATAATAATGATAACAATATAATTAATAATAAGGATAATGATGATGACGATGATAACAATAATAATAATGATAATAATAATGATGACGATGATAACAATAATAATAATGATAATAATAATAATAATAATAATAATAATAATAATGATAATAATAATAATAATAATAATAATAATGATAATAATAATAATAATAACAATGATAATAATGATAATAGTAATAATGATAATAATAAAATGCATTTATAACAACAATAACAACAACAAAAATTACAATAACAATATTAAGAATGATGATAACGATGGTAACAGTGATAATAATGAATTAAGCAAGCTCTCTGGTTACAAGCCGCCGTTAGCGGGCTCATAATCTGAGGCATTAGCTTTAAAACCTAATTCGTTCGGAAAGAGCTTTCGAGGAACACCAGTTAATCACCTTAAAGGGCAGCTTGAGTTAGCATGGCAGTTTCATAGAAAACGGGCCTAAAACAATGAAAACTGACCAACAAAAAACGGGTCTCGCGTCAACATCAAAGAAAATGAAATTCCAATCTCTACCAAAGAAAACGGTCCTTAACTATGACTAAGGGAAACAGGTCATCACCAACCCCACAAATGAAGGAGTGAAGTCTTTGGTTAAAGAAGGTAAATCAAGTTCACATCAAATGAAGAATGTCGATGTCGAAGGAAAAACAACAAAGAGAGGGGAATGCTAACGCGGGGGAAAATGCCACAACGTTAAGAGTATATGTGGTTGTCATCTCACGTTTGCCTTGCTAGTTTGAAAGTTGGAAAGGAAGGACTGATTGTTGTTGTAAAATCCCGTTTCGCTCATGCAGCGGTGTGTATGTATCAGAGAGAAAGAGAGTGAGAGAGAGAGAGAGAGAGAGAGGGAGAGAGGAGAGAGAGAGAGAGAATATCTATTAGTTTGCATGAGTGTACCTGACTATTAGTGTATTCGTGAGTACACAAGTTCTTGAGCCCAGTAATGAGAATAATCAGGCACAAACCGAGCCTCGCAAACAACAATCAGAATCCAAAAACAAAAACAGATCTTGCGAAGAAAATATTTCTTATGCAAATAAACGAAGAAAAGCTGGACCTCCACAAAATAAAAGGAAGAAAGACACACGTGAGTCCCGTCGTCTGTGCCTCCGGAGATGTCCAGCGTCTGGATTGAAGATAAACCTCAAGATGGAATGACTAGATGCACCCCCACCCCCTTACCCCCAACAGTCTTCCCCCGCGCCCTCCAATCTTCAACCTCTTCCCCTCCTCCCTCCCCTTCCCTCCCCTCCTTCCCTACCCCTCTCCCCATCATCCTCCCCTCCCTTCCCCCTGCCCGATTCCTTCCTCCTCCCCATTCCCAATACTTTGCTTCCTTCCTTCTCCCTTCCTCACTCCTTCGCCCCCAACCCTTCTCCTCTTCCCCCTTTCCCTCCCTCATTCCCCCACCCCTTGCCTTCTTCTCCCTCCCCCCATTCCCCCTCGCCTTGCCGTCCTCTCCTTCTCCTCTCATTCTCTCTCCCTCTATATCCTTCTCCCCAAAAGCGACCGAAGATTAAAAAAAGCGAGTGAACGAAGGAGACGAGGAGGGTAAAGGGGGAGGGGAGGGGAGGGGAGGACGGATGGACAGGAGGGGGAGGCCAGGCAGGAGGAGAAGGAGATGGAAGGGAGAGGGGGAGGAAGGAGTGTGGCAGAAAGGAGAGAGTCCAGGGAGGAGGAGGAGAAGGGAGGGAAGGAGGAGTGGAAGGGGGGTGAGGAGGAGAGGGGGAGGAGGAGGAGGAGGAGGAGAAGGGAGCAGGAGGAGGAGAGGGGGGGGAGAAGGAGGAGGTGGAGAGGGGAGCAGGAGGAGGAGGAGACGGAGGGCAGAGGGGGGGGGGGTACACGCACACAAACCCCGAACCGACACAAAGGAAGCGGCCGACCTAAAAATCTTGGTAGATACGGATCTGTTGGTTCTTTTTATTTTTTGTGTTTGTCCTTCTCTCCCTTCCTTTCTTTACGTGTTTCCTGCATACATATCTTTGTCTCTTTAGTGATCTTTAACCTGATTTTGCGCACCCACTGCCTCACAAGAGAAGGGCGATTGCCAAAGGAGAACAGACGTTTTATTCGTTAATTCTTCCATAGCTATTTAATTTGTTCATTTTTTTTAAATCTCTGTTCTTTTTCCTTTCATTTCTCTACTCTTCAATATTTTCTTATTTTTCGCCTTTCTCTTCTTTTTCTTTGTTTCCGATTTTCTGTGCCTTTTCTTCTACTTTTACTTCTGCTTCTTTTTCCCCTCTTCTCCTTCTCTCTGTGTTATTTCTACTTTTCCTTCTTCTTCTTTCTCATGCTCTCTCCTCTCACTCTTCTCTTTCTCTTCCTACTTTCCTTCTCTTTTCTCTCCCCAATTCCTTCTTTCCATGTTTTCTTCCTTCTTTCTTCTCTACCTTTCCATTTATTTCCATTTGTCATTTTCTTTTTCTTTTCTTTTTTTCACTAACAAATTAATCATATATATTGTTACTCGTTCATTCTCCTCGTTTATTTTATTTAGATTAAAGACTTTATAAAAATGTGGAATGAATTAAATGTTAGAAAGAAATTTAAATGTGAATTGGCTCACGTTGGACCATCTTTAAAAATACTTAGAAGATGTTAGGTAAGCCAGAGTTACTTTAGCGACGGTACATGATAATCTGCATGAATAAGATTGTGATAACTAATAGAGATTACATTCAATATTAAAATATCTTAACGATATATATATATATATATATATATATATATATATATATATATATATATATATATATATATATAAAAGTATATATATATATATATATATATATATATATATATATATATATATATATATATATATATATATATTTGTATGTGTGTGTGACTTACTGATACATGTCTGTTTTATTTTTGTTCTCTCCTCTGTTACCCTTTCATGTAAACCCCTTATTAGTGTAAACATTTTAAGTCACTAAGTTTTACGTTCAATCACACAGAGATTCCTTCCCTGTCTTAAATCAATAGGATTTTCGACCTTACGAAACACCAAAGGGGGAGGAGCG